TGAGTTTAAAATTACCTGAAGTGGAATGAAAAATATTAAATAAAAAAGGCAGGTAAAAAATAAAATAAGAATTTGAATACAAGATTACGTAACTGTGAGAAATACATTAATGTTGCTATCTTATTAACTCGTAAATTATTGATCATAAATACCAAATATTTTAGAATGGAGCTTTGCAACGACTCTTTGGAAAATGTATACGTACTTTTTCCGAACTTCTTTTCACTGCCGATCTCTCGTTGTCATATCATGCACGTGTTTTGTTTTTCTTTGATTATCTTCTTTAAAATATAGATCATAGCAACGAACAGGAATAGTTGGAGCTGTTTTTATTCTCTAGTCTTAACTAAAAATAGAAGAAATATCGAAAGAGCGATCACGATATAGTGAAATCAACAAATCTTGTCGTAGATTAGAAACTTTCATATCTCAATGGTTTTGGTAGCCTGGGCTGTGGGTTGGACCATTTTTAGGAATTTTGATAATTGTGTTTGCCAGTACTTTTTGTAACGAAATCTTTCATGCTTGTAATGGCTTTTATTTTCTCTATTTCTTCACTGATCATACGAATAAACTGACAAACCAAAGGACCTTAATTTTGATCATTCCGCTAGACACCTGTACTTTTAAGAGTTAAGTTGTGAAGTATGGGAATCTGTGCTTTGAGATACAAAAAAAATTCGTATAGTTTCCAGATTATTCAGTTCACTTCTTCAGGTAAATATCTGTGAAAACTTTCTTCGGGTAGCCGATTTAGTTCTTTCCTGGAATTTCGAGATTCATCGTTTTCCGATTCGAATCACTTTTGCAAATGAAGGAGCACCCTGTGCAGCATTGCGACCTCCTGAATCATGGAAACCAATCTTTCAGTCGGACGAATTTTTGCATCTTTTCTTTGGGGTTTGCGTCATGTGTTTTAAACGGTAGAAAGAATTAAGTTTTAGATGATGGCGGAAAAAAGCTTGCTGAAAAGTATTCGTAGGGATACATTCGTGAGAATAATATATTCTCAGCTCGGGTATTTTGCATATAGTCATATCTTATTAAAAATATCACAGTTATTACTTCAAGGATAAATTAAGTAAAAGCCATCGTACAATTAACCGTGGATAATTTTTCAGTTACACAAACGAGTTCGTCACAATGAAACACTTTGTATATACTCATTGAATTGCCTTATTCAGTTATCTTCGTTGATGGGACCTGTTCTAACTGATGATCAATCAATTACTACCCAAGAATTGTCTTCATCCAGTACTTCAAGCTTCGTTAATGCTCATGATCGATATGTTTCAAATTTCATTGCTGGTTTTTTAGACATTTTTGAAAGGTATTTTCCTAGTTGAACTTGCTAAGTTCTTTCTTTCTGCTTCTAACTATGCACGAATTAGCATTGAATAGGCATGCTGTCATAACCTATCATCTTTTGCTGAAAATCGTACCCAGGCTTTTCAGGAAATAAAATCTTATTATTCCCTCCAGCCTAAATCTTACTTACTAATCGGCTGTTGAATTTTCTTCTTGTCTCTTCTGTATGATTTTTTTGAATCAGGCAGTGAGAGATTGTTAAAAAGTATACTGAGTTGTTGAGACAGTTCTAAAATCTTTTGCTATATATGTATATATATATATATATATATATGTATGTAAACCGATTTTACGATTCGAATAAAATCTCCAGTTTTAATAGGCTTTTATTTTCAGCGGCCCTTTGGAAAGAGAGATACCTGGCTTCTGCATAATTATACATAAATTACTGACATACCATCGAATTCTTTCGTTTCCCCGAGCCGAAATGTCGTTTGTAACATTTCTAACCATTTTCGTACAATGTGCTGAACATCTGACCCCGATTGCTATGCAGAAAGCTTTGGTGAGGCGCATTTGATTATTTGCTTATAAAATTTCGAAAATGTCATTCGACCATAGAATTGTGGCTGAGATTTAAATATGGGGTGATACGTGAGAAACAAACATTTATTTTGGAGGAAATTTGGAATTCTTAAATTTTATATGGTCATTCTTTGAGAAATCATTATTCAGCTGCATCAAACTTTTATTCAATTAGATTATTTCATTGTTGATTATAACTCATCATCTTAGTTACTTTAATTATTAATTATTTATTTTATTTATAGGAGATATAACTAAACAGTTTACAATTTTTATTTTTGAAGGAAGAAGATGATCACGTCTACCTTGAAAGTTTACAAAACTTGTACGACGGTTGGTGGGTGATACTTCGAAATTGCGGTATTATTGGGGATGCTTGCCATTATCCCATTGATTTTGACGAATTAACTATAAAGATTATTTCGGCATTTATGAGAAACATTTTGTCAGAACCGCACGGTTGTCGCATAAAGGTATTGGTTATTTTACATTATTTCCTGGTTTATTATTGTCTTGGTGTACGGTCTAGTATTGTCTAGCTTTTTCGCATTGCATATTTATTTGAGTTAATCAATAACATCAGCAAGCATTTAATAATGAATTATATACAAAGCTGCAAAATAATTCACATTTCGACATGGTTTTTATTTTTTTTCTTTTAAATTCACATGAGACGTTATTGAAAAGTGATATCAATATGAATTTGTTTGAGTTAAATTTATTTTAATTGCTTTTCAGGTTCCAATACAAGAATGTGATGAAGAAATTGATGATGATCGTGAAATTTTCAAGGAATTGTTAAGCTCAATTGGACGTTTTTCTGCCTTTTATTCCGCTCAGATATTACCACGAATATTTACGTGAGTTTATTTCTTTTTAAAAAAATTTGCTGGACTTATTTGTTGAACTTATTACTTACATACAGTATTTTAATATTTCAAATATTGAAGATGATCACTTCTTCCCGAAAAAAAATCTTGGTTATATTGACTTGCTTGCTTTCTCTAAGTGGTATTTTTCTCCAGAAAAAATTATAGTTTTTTTGCAGAGTTTTATTTGACAAAGTGAAGCAGTTTTTGTCCTACATCGAAATAGGCGTAAACGATGAAACATTGAACGTATGGCGAGAAGATATGCATTGGACTCTACTGCTAACTGGTAAATAATTATATTGGTCTTGGCTTAAAACTTTTTCATTGGTTGTCCGAATAAAATCATTGAAGTTATAAAGCTTGCATAAGGGAATGATTCGCAGTTAATATTATAAGCGCAGTGTAGCAAATGATTGAGTGAACCTGAAGATTAAATTAAATGTCTTTTGTTACTCACTTCTCTTTCAAAGATAATTTAAATTGGATCAGATTTTTAGTTTATTAATAAATATCGATCTTTAAAGTTATATTTAGAAGAATAGCTATGAATACGTTCAAAAATCTATTCAGGTTTTATATTAACAACGAGTGATGATGATGGTGTTTCACACTTCCAAAACGATATTTTGGATTATTATCAAAGTGCGTCACGTAATGAAGTTATGGATGTCGATTCTTCTATATCATATATTAAAGCTTGCATTGATTCACCAAATACAATTACTGGTCCTGCACGAGTAGATCCTCTAATAAAGTAAGTATTAGCTTGGGAAACATTGAAATACAGCAAGATATAATGGTTTATATCTTAAAAAATAGTTTGTCGAGGCATTAGTGCTGTAATTGTTGTGATTGTATATCAATTAATCAAGTTTAATCATTAATCTATTTGCAAAGTGATCTCAAAAAATAATTTTGGATTTCTGACATTAAACGACTTCTAAAGAGCTATTAAAGGTTATGATCATTGTAAATTTAGTTTCAATTGTCGGGATAACACTTAAAATGGAATTGCTTTTAGCATAATAAGTGCCGTTTTGTCTTGGTGTTCCATCGAGCATAAGCTATTGGTGGATCATGGTGCAGAAGCAATAAGCCCGGAACTAGCACGTTCTTCAGTATGGTGTTTGGGACGTTTGATATGCGCCATGGGTTTTCACACTATAAATCCTGAGGATAGTGAGCGATTGGCAGCTATAACAAAAAGCATTTTGCAAACTGTGGTCGATTTTGCGTTGCAGAAATGTTTCAGCATATTAAATAATTTGTCAGGGGAACGCAAGTTTGTTTTTTCTTTTTTCACTTTTAATTCAAAGAATTTGAAGTGTTTTAAGCTAATGTCTTTCAACACTGGACCAATTATCCACAGTTTAATCAGACATGATTCAACCAGTATATTCTATTTCATGTATTATTACGCTATCAAAAATCGTGCAATGCTAAATGATTTTATGGTTCACGCGTATTTTGATGTTCTCATATTACAGTTTGTTCAATTATAGGCTGTGTTTTGATGCTGTGGAAGTGTTTACTGGTTTGGTAACTTCTGCGTGCAATGAAACAGCAAAAAGTCCTTTTCTTTTTCCATGTGTTTCAACAGTACAAATTGAACGATTACCAGCTCGTCATTCCTTTGTGAAGGTATTAGTGGAACTTGGAGGTATGGTCGATGATGAAAATATAAAAAAAACATTGTATGAAATGGTTGGTTTATTAAAACAGTCTGTTTTGCTATATTTTTCATTATATCATTAAGTTCTTTAACCCAATTACAAATACAATAACGTTATATGCAAGATGTATTCTATCATATTTTTTGATTCATTAGCTCAAAGTTTAATATCGTTCTTAGCATTGGTTTCTCTTTCTACCATTTATAGCTAGCATATATTATTAAATGTTTTGATAGTGATGCACGTATAGAAAGCGTTTTGTTAAGATTGGAGAATATCAGTTTTGATCAGACGTTATTATCCTTGAATTTCGTAACAGATAATTTCACTGCGATATGACATTACAAATGTTTAATGTGAAGTTGAATTAATGATCATTTTTATTTGAATTTTGTTATCAACCCGTTAAATATTCGGAAATTTGTTTTTTATTAGAAGAAAAAAATTTGAAATTGAAATGTCATTTTTTCTCGATGAAATTTCAGAAAAAACTAATGAGATAACCGTTTTTTTGCTCTAACATAATTGCATTGCAGGTTTTGCAACCACTTCGTGAAAAATTTATGTTTTTATCTGAAGAACAAACAAGCTTAGAAACGGATCTCGTTGACTTATTGGATTGTTTGGGCGGGCTGGCTGAAGCTGCTCATAGTCATAATACCCATTTCTTATTTGGTACATTATGATTTAAATTTAAATATTTGTATATAAAAAATAAATCTGCAAAAAGTACTCAACATTTTTAAACGAAGTTTGGTTGTAACAATCTGAAGTGCTTATTTTCCAGAATATTTATCACCAATTCTGACATGTTCAGTTCGTTTACTGTTATTACACAAAGAATCTCAGCTTATTACCAATGCGGTTCTGAATCTGTTCAATAATATTACAAAACGTATGGGTGTCTGTAGTGAGGATGGTAATGATATGAATTCACTTTATGAGGTATAGTTGAATTTTTATACCATAGCTGCGTCCTCTCAATCAGTGAAATAAATCTGACGATAATGAAAATCGGCACGAACTGTATATTAGCTTTGTAAAAGAAACGTATGCTGGCTGGCAGACCACTTTGTTTGATTTAATCGTTAGAATCTTAGTGGATCGAATTTTAAGATTTCAATAAGCTATCACGTTATATAGCCTTCTTAGTTTGCTTAAAGTTTCTGGACTATATTTTATATTTGTATAACCATTGTTGTTCCATGACTTTCCAAAAATCTCGAAGTACACAGAGTCTAATTTTTATAGACACTGCTAGAACTTATTGCAATTTATCGGAGTGGACAGTTTACAAGATATAAGGTGATTGATGTTGATGTCGAAGATAAGGCAACCGATTTGATTATATTGTTAGATATTCTTGCTAATGTTTTGAGCAAGGATTTTCTCTCGATCAATCCTTCATCTTCATCCGGTTGATTCTTTTTGCTTTTGTCATGTTTAAATTTTATGGAAGAATTGTTCATTTTTCTTTGGTTCCTGTCTTTAGTCTCTAATTTTTGTGAAATCCAGAATGGACTTCATAAAAGTAAAACTTCGCTTTAATTGAAATTCCTTCTGAGTTGATTTGTTCAATCTAAATAATTTTACTGACAAACCCTTATTATCTTTTCGGTAATTCAGATACAGCGGAGTTTCCAAAAAGCGATTCTCGCGTTGCACTGATTGCCTTGGAGATGTTACTACCTGTAATGGAAGATGATTTGCTCAAAATACCTTCATTATGCCGGAAGTAAATTTTGTTTAAATTTCAAATCTTTCACTACGAAAATTCACGTAAAGGATTTAATAGTAGCTATGGAAGCCAAGAGTAATTTACTTTTCAGGGTAAAACTTTTATGTTTTAATAACCAGTATCCATTTCAGATTTTATCGCTTAATCTTATATTTTACTGAAATGACACCACAATCTCTTGAAAGTTTGCCAGAGGAATTGTTTATTTCAATCATTGAATGTCTTCGTCATGGCTTGAAATCAGATTTCGGGCCGGAGGTAACAAATGACACTTTGTTTTTCTTTTATCGCAGGAAAGTTATATTTCGTTTCAAAAAACAAATACATTAATGAAAATTAATTTTATGAACTGCACTTCTTTAAAAGGTAAAACCCAGAAATGTTTTGCTGGTTGCACTAAATAAATATCTTACGCGCATTCTTTCGTGAAAATAAAAAGAACATTCAAAATGATCATGTTTGTCAATTGTTTTGAGGTACAAATAGCTTAAAAGTTAAGGTTTTTAATTACATTAATTTCTTTTTTATTTTCAGCGTTTATTATACTTATAATATAATCATTTAACGTCTCACTTTGATTCTTTAACTTTAATTCTATGACACACCACTTTCTTGTTTCTAGTTCTGTTGTAATAGTTTTTTGCCGCCATTAAGCTGACTTTTTTTTTGGAATTAATAGATTTGTTCATTACTCCACATTTTTCTAATATATCAATTTCAGATTTCGTTAGTTTCTGCTGAAACAGTAACCGAAATGGCCTCATATTTTGCTCGACATACACCAAGAAATGAAACAGCTATTGCACGTCTTGCTGTACTTCTTGAAGTAAATTTTATGATGTTTTTATAGGTTTACATAAGCAAGCTATTATTATGCTCTGTCCTGTGGTATTTTAAATCAGTTAATCATAATTTCAGTTAACTAAATTTTTTGTCAAATATTAAACTTCTGAATTGAACTAATCACAAGATTTTTCTTTGTCAATTTCTTTCAGTTTTTTTCTCATAGAAATTCAGGAACAATCTTAATTAGAAGTGAGTTCCTAATGTATTATCTTGATTTAAAAAAAACAAAATTATTAAAATGTCAAACTTCATTTAAAAAATTTTAGTTTAAACTCCCAATCCGACGCAACTTGTGCTTTGTGCTTCATTTTCTGGAAAACTAACTGAGTAATCGTTATTTTCCCATGACACTATTTAGCATATTATAAGTTTATGTAGTGAACATGCTTTGTTTTTCATTTACTTATCTGCTAAATAAATATTGGGAACTAATTTAATTTTTAGCCAACATTTTGGATGTGTCTAAGTTGCTCCTGGCAAGTAGATTTGCACAGTGCTTCCTCAGCAGCTCTCTTCTCCTTGATTTGTTGCAATCAGGTATGTGGTTATTTTTTCAGTTTTTTTGGTGAAGTACATTCAGAAATTTGTAGTTTGAAATCGTAAACCAAGGCAATCAGCACACTTTTTACATCTGAGAAAGTACAGAATGAGAGTATTTTGATCGATTGCGCTTAATTATTAATGTTATGAACTTATTGAACTTTTTAAAGAAACCATCTCAATTTAAAAATGCTTTTTAGTATCTTGGATTCATTGTTTTGTCTCAACCTTGCTTAAATCCATATTTTCGTTTAATGCAAGATTTTGACAATCTGAATCTTCATCGTGCGAAGTTATCCTTATTCAATAGTTTTTAAATTAATAATTACTCTAACTTCGGACATTAACTTAAATCTGAAAGGTTGACAACACTGAATTCCAACCAAATTTCAGGTTGCTTTCGAAGAATACGTTAAACAATTGCTTTCTCGTAATGAAAATCGCCCATATTATTTGCCTCTACAGTTAGCATTTCAAGCTTTAGTACCAGCTAATATAAAGCTTCATCTAGATCGGAGTGAGAAGCGTGATTTTCGTGATCGTTTAGAGCAATTCCTGAATCAATCGCAGGGTTTGCTCATTATTGAATAAAACGAAAGAATAAATACTAAAAGCAATGAACAATAAATAAAATTTTAATACATTTTTCTTGAACATTAACTGTTTTGAGATGTATGCTGTATTGAAGTTGTGATTTTATCTCTGCAGGTTTCATTTTCCCACCTGTAGCTTTTGAACTATTGAATGTTCATTTAGTATTTGTTCATTAATTTTTTCTATCTATATTTCAAAATGAAAACAACGAAATTTCCAGTGTATAATAATATGGCTTAATTTCTTCTTGAAGTTACATTAAATGAATAATGTTCAATAAATATTTGCTGTTCTTAAAAGAAGTCAATTTTTAAGGATAATAATAAAAAATAGAAAAGCAAAAGAAATAAATTTTCAACAAGCTTAGGCAATCATTTAAACAACTTAATGTTGCATTGATAATTACAATTTGTATAGGCAGACTTATGAAGGTTAACAACATGTGGGGTGTGACGTCGATAAAGAGAAATGTGCAATTTTGCTTTATGAAAACTCTTCAGCGCACTTTAAGTATTGAGTTTTTGAAGCACTGAAAAACATTGCTATGTGAACTAATCTTGCACATTCGGTAAATTTTCGCAAGATAATTTTGGTAGCTGATTTATTGGATACTCACAGATTGCCATGTCATTTAGAATTGTATTCAGGAAAGTGACAGTTCAACCAATCATGGAAGCATTTGTTTCGGTCGAATAGATGAAATAATTGATTAAATATGTTGGGATGATCGCTGATCCCTATTACATTCTCCATGATCGTCCTTTTTCTAGAAATTATGAGACACCTCCTCGCTCGGTTCTTATTGTACTTTTTAATTTTAAGGAAATTATGATACAACGTTTAAAGCGATACGACAATATTAGATGATCAAACAAAACAATTTGATCGTACATAAATTCCGAATCTTCTACAAATGTTTAGTTTATCAGTATATAAACTTTACCATATTGATCACCCATCTATCTCCTTTCGTTGATATAAATTATAAATAACGGAAGCGATTTAGCAGTTGTCAGTTAGTAAAGTAAAGCTGTAACGTTAACTAATATTGCAAATTGAAATAAAACGAAAATTTTTACATACAGTAATCGCACGATAAACTATCCACGAAAATATGTAATAATATCGAAAGAAAGCACGAATTTAAATTCTGGAAGAAGCAGGAATTAAACTTTAAACTTTAACTTACTTTTTTCTTTGGGACATTTTTCAGTATACGCTTGAAAAAGTCTAAAGCTTATTCCAACATACCAACATTCTTGCTTGCTGCGTCCACGTCAGTAATTCAGCAACTTTGTTCAAATGCAGTAGATTCTTTCAGAGCGCAATATAGCAATTGACTACCGAGTAATTAGCATAATTGCTTAGCATGTTCATGGATTGAATCGTAGATGAATATTGTTGTAAGAAATTTATGAAGTAATTATTAAGTTAAATGGAAAGTTTTGAAAAAAAAGAACAACTTGTTAAAAGATTTTTTATATCGTTACGAACTAATTCTTTTTGAACATGAATTTGCATAAATCTGTTCCAACATAAAGCTAAAATTTCCGATGTCAGCATTTTACTATGTGAAGACATTTGA